AATATATCAATTGAATCAATTTTTCGTTTGATATCAGCATTAGTCACCGTCATTATAATATTTAATGCAGATATTAAATCAAAATTTGGTTCATAACAATAATAATAATCTTTGGGCAACTCTCGAGTTAAAATTTTTAATTTAACATCTAAAAATGATTGAGTAGCATATGTAAGAGGACCTACAATTCTTATTCTGCGTCCTTTGTTATTCATATTGCATGCAATGGCATAACCAAAATCAGTTAATTTTATATGATTAGTATCACGATCTAACATTAAATTTTGTGGACGTACGTCACGATGAATAATACGACAATCATATAGATAATGAATTATATCAATAAGTTGTTTTGCTTGTATTAATGATAATGATTCTATACATTGTAATTCTTTTTCATATAATAAATAATTAACTGAAAATAAAAATTAACAAATCAGAGATAGTATTTTAATAATATTTATTAGTTATTTAATCTAAATTACAAACGAATAACATAGACAGTTGTTCAATTATAAATCTTAGATTTGGACAGAAGTCCAAGTCTTGAAAATTATTCTAAGACATTTGTTTTTTCATTTATCTATAACTATGAATTTACACAACAAACAAGTTTGTTTCAGCAAACGTAATTTGAAAACACTTCGCTTGGTGTTATCTATCTCGTTTATCAAACAATAGCTTTTAAAACTTTATTTTTTCCTGTGATAGTCAATAATATCATTAATGAAATCAATTTTATCATGAAGACTAATGTTTGAGAAAGTGCATCAACAAATCCAAAGAAATCTTGTCAATTGTTTAAATCTTCTGCTATCGATAAGTTAACAATCTTTTCTTTATTACAATTTTGTGGTGTCAGATTGATATTTGATGCATTTTTCCTAATAATAAATCTTTCTTATTAACTATCAAATTTTCATACGATTTGATTGTTTTTACTCTAAATGTTTTAAGATTTATCGACCTAATTATTAATATCCTTATAAGTTTGAATTTTTCTAGAAAAACCATTGAAATCAAAAACTGATAATTCATCGCTCTCAAACTTGAAATTTTTCATAATCCACACTTAAACTTACAAACCAATTGAGAAGATTAGTTTTAGTTTTTGACACTTTTTCTCCTACACTAATCTTATGTTGAGAGTATGGATGTAAATCATTTGAAGGTCTACTTCTCTCTATTTATCCTATGTTTTCCTATATAGATATGCAAGACTAGAGATATATGCACAAGAATTTAGGCATATATACTTATATTCTTCCGTTACAACTCTCATACTCATATCCTTAACTTTAGTGTCTTACACTAATATCCTTAGTCAGATAACTTATATCTACCATATTAAACCTACACGGTACACACTTACCCTATTGATGTATATCAATATTCTTATCTAAATAGGGTTGTCAATGTACCCTTGTATATGTATACTGTTACTCTAAGATCGTCATGCTTATTGTCTTCTATGTATGTCCCAATACCTGACCAGAAATATCTATTCAATAAACAAAAACCTTCAATTAATAATTATAAAGTCATAAAGTTTTATAAAGAGTTTTCTTGCCAAAAATATTCTATATTTACAAAGAGAAATAGAATAGATGTATTACTTCATTATAAATGTGTCTGATTGTTAAAGAAAAAGATGATAAGAAATCATATGAAAAAAGTAAAAGACGATGATCCAAAGTCCAATTTGTTTTCTATATTATTCCTGAAGAAAATTTACTGAAAACAAAAGAACCTCTCATCGTACAGGACAATTATTTTTTAGATCTAGCATAGAGAAAAAGACAGACATTTAGAAAAAAAGATTTAATTAACTTGTAATCGATATAATAATTTATCTATGACTTCTGAATATAAATGATGTCATGTATTTCAATAAGATTAAATTTGTTCATATTTGTAGTTTTTGTTACACTGGATATAGAGAAAGGAGTCATATCGTATTTTTGTCGATATAAATGGAACGAGCTACATCTCCACTATATCTTGTCTCTCGATCTCTACTAGGAAGAACATAATAGTGAAAACTCAAAAAGCTTTCTAGAAACTCAAATAGATCATCTAATCACAAAAAAGTCAATAGAAAAATGTCTTACTTGAAGATGGTCGATCAATAATATTTTGAAAAAATAAATGAAATTTGTTTGAATTATTAAATCTTTTTAATATTTTTGTTATTCTAACTTCATTTAATAAATATTCTGAATCAGTATGTGTTTTTAATATTTTCATTACATAATGTGGAGAATCTTCAGTTGAATGGTTATCTTCAATTTTTTCTAATAAATAAACCATTGAGTTGTAACCATTTACTAATTTTTTTGTTATCATATATTGATCACCAAGTAAATCATCATTAGGATCTATTTCTAATACATTATAATAATAATTCCAAAAATTCATTGTTAAAAACTGTATAAAAATTTTCCATGTATCTTTATTAACACCTAATTTTCTTTTATTTTCAGTTATTGTTGACGTATCAATAGACGATAATGTTTCAGACAAATAGTTAAACATTTCTAATTCTTGACTTTGAAAATATTCATATGAATTCAAATCAAAGTTCTTTTGTACACCAAAAAATTTGATATGTGTATAATTACTAAGAAAACCAAATATGATTCGACGACATTGAACTGTCAATATAATTTTCAAATATTGTAATATTTCTTCAATTATTGAATCTTCTGATAAAGAAACATTTGGAGATTTTAAATTACCAAGACAAACAACAAAATCTTGTAAAAATGAATCTTCTTTATTAATTTTAATATTTATATTTTTATATATAAATGTACAATCAGGATTAAATTTATCTTCTAAATAATATGAAGAAGATGTATTTAAATATTTCAGTGATGTATTATTATTCAATGTATTTAATAAATTAAAAATTAAATGATCAAATTCTTCACGAATTTCTTTTTCATTTAATTTAGAATATGATAAAAATTGATTTGAATTATGTTCAATATAATTTAATATATTATTATTAAATAAATTATTCTTGTTTAAGTGTTCCTTAATATCGAACGAATATAAATTATCGATTACATCGATATCGTAAAAATTATAATGAGATGTAAATATACGACGACGTTTTGCAGTTGATGAAACGTCTTCCTCTTCTGTCATTCGTCGTTTTTTTTCGATACTTTCATTTATTTCCTGAAGTTTCGTTTCGTTGAATTGATTTTCTGCGTGTAAGATTTTTTGTTTTACTTTTCTGATACATAGTTTCGCTTCTTCGATTCGTTCTTTTGTTTCTTCGATTTTCATTAATACGTCAAGTTCACGTATCTTTTTGTTGATTTCATGTTTATCTATTACTACTTGAATTTGGTTTATATCCCAAGCTTCACTTTTCATTTTTTCGATTTTATTTTGACATTTGCTCTCCTTGGTTAGTTCTATTTCTTCAGCTTCACGTTTCATTTTTTCGATTTCATCCCGAAATTGTTGAATTTCTTGTTCTTTTTTTTCTTGCTCTTCAAGTTGCTTTTTTATGAATATTTGTAGAGTTTCTTTGTGAAAATCGTTTGTAGCCATAGTTATGTAGTTTTTTTTATTCTTATCCACAATCAAAATAGAAAAAGATATGTCATGAACTGAAATCAAAAGGACAAACCACCAGTCATCGAGTGATTATAGTCAGACAAGATCGAATGGCAAAATGACGCTAATGCGTAGCTTATTTTATGTATAATTCACAATTGACCACATTTATATATGATAGGAGAATGGAATAGAATCGGCCGGACGAATGATTTCAGTCGACAATTTTTTTCTCTGAATTCAAGTAGTCAGAAAAGTCAAAAATTGATGCGTTATATAATGACCTTTATACATTTTCTCTTTCAACGCAGTTTACACAGTGAAAAATGCCCGACTTTTTGCCGCTTTAATGGTCGAGCTTTTTTTTAAATCTCACACAGTTATAACGTGAGAAGCACGAAACGTTTAAATGCATTTCTATATAGACGCGTAAAAAGGTGAAAATTCGAATATTTTTAACTCTTTGAAACAAGTTAATACAAAACACATTTTAACGATTGTTTATTTATACCATTTTCTTCCGTTCACAAACTGGATTCATCAAACCATAATCAACTGTTCCTGTAGAAATCCTCGAGAATTATCGAAAAATCAAGCAATCAATTTCTGAAGACAACGTAGATGAATTCTCCTTAAAGATTGCTTGGAAATGTGTCCGTTTTTTGCTTGATTTTTCGAGAATCTCTGCAGATATTGTCAATCTATCTCAATTCTCTGAGACTATCTATAGAAAGCGTTGACTAGAAAAACTTGTAACTTCGAGTACAGAGTTTAGCAAATGTTATATTTAGCTAAGAAAAAGAACTGACCTTGTTTTTTTAGTTCTCTCTATTTTGGAAATTACATCGTATATTGAAGCATGTATTTTAGATGGCAATATTCAAAGAAACTGCAGATCAGCTGACTTCAGTGACAAGAAATTGTTAAAAACATAGTGATATAACTGATCATTTTATTGTTAGTGAATTCTTGTCTTAATAGAAATAGAGAGATTGTTGATAAACTATTTACAATGAACTGACTTATCCTGTTTGAAGTAGACTTTTCCAAATTAAGATTAAAAATTGATAATAGAAATGGAATACAATGAGTGAAAAAGGAGCGGAAATCTATATATTTTTAGTCTAATTTGCTAGTTTTATGGAAAAAATCTAATCTATCTATTCATGGCTATTACCGTTTTGTTTTCTCCACACTATGAAATTAGAATAAAAAGCTTGTTAGCGCAGCTCCTGCGGAGCTGAAATGTGGAACTCACGTATACCTTTAGCTTTGTTACCTGACGGGTGTGGGTGTGTGTGGGTGTGGGTGTGGG